CCTCTCCACGACAGCACTGACAAAGCGCCCGCACGGGGCTGCCTGGCAGGGAAGAAACCGCCCAACACTGCGTGAGCCACAGCTCCAGACCACTGCGACCATCCCTGCTCCCTCTTCCGCACGGTGCAAGGTGACATTCAGGGATCTCTGCGTGTGGGTGTATCCAGCCAAGAACAACCTGGAAGGATGATGCTCACTGGAAGTAAAAGCTTTAGCATCCCTATCAACGGCCCGTACAGAACCCAGCAAGGTAAAGTGGGGTCCTTCAGTCTCAGCTTCCAGAGCCCCTTGGGATGAGGAGTCCCTTGAGTTCCTTCTCCTTTTGCTACAAATGCTATGAGGCATAGAGCAAGGCTGAAAAAGGTCTTCTGGAGTTACAGAAAAAGGAGAGTCATCCCAGTGGTGGTTTTCCCACACGTATCAGTCAGATTTGGGCTCCAGTCCCAAAAATTAATTAGCATGAATGAAATCTAGTAACTCAGGCTGTTCTCCAGAATTTAGACAGGGTTGCGATGGCCGCAGAAATAGAAAAAAGGAGGGCATGGAGATGCAGAGGGAAGGACACAGACTCCTCCATAAGACGATCTGTTCTAGAGACCGCAGACCAGATCATCAAAGTCCTTTTCCAAAATTCAAGATTCTCGGTATGTGAGGAGCTGGCTGTGGGAACAGATGCTCAGGAACGTGGGGGATTAATCAGCAGATCCTCCTGGAAGCTTGTGTTTCACTGCCAAGCACAGCTGGTCTCAAACCATGCTTCCGGACCTTGGCAAAGAGGTTTTCCCATCACCCCGGACCACGCAGAGGAACTGGAGGCAGGGAGGGAAGGACCAAAGGCAGCACTTCCTTACTTGGTGTTAGTCCCTTCCCATCACCCCCAGGAAGCTGGAGGATGGCGACAGCTGAAAGTGGGTGAAGGAAAGATACGGGGAAACAGCGGCTTAGGTTGCACCTCTCCCTATTCCTGCCCAAGGTCATTACCAATGCTATGGGAATTAGCACAGAGGGGAGAGCTTTAGAAGCCCACAGATGACTGAGGGTGGCTGAGGTCTGGCTGTGCCCTGCCCTTCGGTTGCACACTGTCACCCTGTCCCTTGCACAGGTGACAAAACGGACACAGCAAAGTCATTTGACCAAAAGAGCCCCACGACTCCAGAGGCGGCTGCTGACCTGCTTTCCAGACAGCTGCCTCATTTTTAAGCCCGTACGCCATAAAACCTGGCACCCATTTCCCTCTCTGCTCCCTTCCTGGGGACAGCGATAATGTCAGCGCTCCCTCTGACCCACTTTGAAGTCAGCGCATTCGATTTCAAGGGCAGAAAATCAAAGCCAGCAACAAAGCGCTTCCTGCGAGCATCGCTCCCATCCATTTACCGTGCCTGCTGGCAGGTGGGCGGCCGGGACAGGCCAGTAATTGTGGAAGCAACCATGTGTCTCCAGACCATATGTGGAGGGCAAGAAATGAGAAACTGCAATTTCTCTCGTTGTCCGAGGCCAGGACCGGTCTCTTGAGACAGGGCTGACACAAGGCGCTTTCAAACCATTATTCTTGCTTTTGGCAACCGGTGGGCAGTGGCCAAGGCTATACCTGTCTGCTCACCACAAGCTCACTCCCTGCTCTGGTTGCACCTCTATACAGAATATACTTACCAGCCTCCCAAGGTGCGAGAAGTTGCCGGATCAGAAGCTCATTATTTATTACCTTCCGTTCCTACAATCCTCTAGCTGGGAAGACCACATTAGGTTTTACTGAGCTGCTGAGGAATTGTGGCAATCTCTGACATCTTTATCAGCTGTGGCAGAAGGATGCTCGAGAAGGGAAGGGAGACTGCGGGTGCCCAAAGAGCGCTGCTGTGTGCCTGCGGGAAGTCACTATAGCAACAGAGGAGGGGGACAGCCCTCAGCAGCCAGGCAGCACGCAACAGGGACCAGGAGAAAGGAAGGAAAAAAGAAAAACCACGAAAAAAATCCCAAAACCCTGTACAGAGGAGACCCAAAACCCCCCAAACCTGCCTATTTAGAAATGCAAAACTGCAAGCAATGGAATAGAAGTCTTGGGTAATGGAAAGGAGATAATAAAACCAGCTCTAAAGGTTTCTGTTGGCTGACATCAGGGATAAATCTGATGCAGTCGAGGCCTCTGAATGACTGCCTGCCTGCTAACGCAGCCAGGACACCGCATGTAATGCCTGCACCAACAGCCAAGGGGGGGTCCCAGTGCTTGGATCTGGACTCCATTCAGGAAAATACTTCTTGTTCCTTCCAGGATGTGGGAAACTCTACGCAACTTTAGACTCCATCTGGAGCCACTGCTCAATTTTGAAGCCGACTACCAAAACAAATGCTAAAAACTGCAGCAGGAGACCATTTAAAAATAAACATGATTAAAATAAAACCTTGGTTAATAAGACCAAAAAAAAGAAGCAAAAGTTAGAAATGTACTTGGAAGAAAAAAAAGAAGGAACTATTGCACTGATTGACTCATTTCAGAGTGCTAAGCAGCCCTCCACAGCTGCCTGACAGCAAGAGGAGCCACAAGCATGCACCACTTCTAGAAAGCAAACACATCAGCTCAGAGCAATTAAACCGCTGCTTCTGCAGATACAGTCCTGGAAAGAGAGAGCAAATTATTTTCCCCAGGAACTCCATCAGTGGCAATTCCCCTCTCAGCAGAGACCATTTCCAGTGCTGCTGCAGGAATTTTTACACTCCATTATCATACAACACCTGCACGCTCATGTACCGCACACAGCATCGCGTTCGAGGGAAGCAGCCGCGAGTACAACGGTGGCACTTAATGGACACTTACCTTCTGCAGAATGGTATGAGACATGGAGGCGTTGGCGTGCACAATGATGGTGGCTGTTTTGTCGTCTCGGATCTCCTTCAGGAGAGGGGTAGGATCCCGGCTGTCATCCAGCATCCGAACTGAGAGCGTGTCCTTGGAAATGAGGAACTGTCGGAGCAGCTTCTCTAGGTTTAAAAGGCCTTTGAATAAAAGGAAGGAAAAAAACAGAGACCATTAAATGTTATGCTTGGTTCACAAAGCACTTCTCCCACGGCCCACAGTCATCCCTGGTGGGAAGCAGCCCTGCAGTTCTGCGTCTGTGCGCTGCAAAACGATGTGGGGCTGCAGCACAGGGAATGGGAAATGATGGAGCTGCTCCAGCTGCTCTCCAGACAAAAACTGGCCCCAAAAGCCACTTCAGTAGAGATAAGATCACTGAGACAAATTCACTCAGGACCCGAGTCCAGACAAGTTCTCTGTTATTTTCCTGCATGCAGGGCTGTTCTGGCTATCGCTGGTCAGACAAGAAGACAACATTAGGTCTACATGAAAAAAAACTGCTAAAGCAACTGTGAGCATGGTCCTAGCGTAGTGCAGAATTACTTGCAGACTGCGAATTCCTAGAGACGCACAGAAGCCAAGAGTAGAACAACAAACAAACCAACCCAACCCAGGATATTTGGTGCTTTATGGAGAAATCAGCAGTTCGCAGTGCAGTAGCTCCATCGCTGGGCACAGTCTCTGGAGACCCACCTCCACCTCCGAGCCCTCATCCCTCTCTCTGCTCTGTCATCTGACTGTGCCCCCACGGAGCCCCTCCATTGGGCCCAGCACAGCCCTCCACCTCCTCGGGCACCATGGGGAAGAGCCAGGACTCTGGCTACCTTGGCCCTCCCCATGCGGTCTGCAGGACTGGGGTCTCCCTTCAGACGGCAGCTGGAGAAAAGCAGTAATCAGTGGGCACCCACATGGAAGAGTCCTCACTGCCCTGGATTTGAGCCTTTGGCTCTTTGGATTGAAGATTATTCCTGCAGCTAGGTCATTGCAAGGGCTTCTTCCAACACAGCTTCCTTGATATCTACACTAAGACGTCAAAGCTCCTGCTGCAGCTTTTCTTAGTCAAGAAAGCATATTTGGTAGAGCCTGTCTCTTCTATCCAGCTGCTGAGTTTCATCAGGAAATAACCTCCTGTCAAGTTTGATTGACCAGAGAGACCATCAGATGTAATCATTAGCAAGACAGCACGGTCACACACATCCCGTCCCTGCAGAAAGACAATCTGCAAGGAAGGAAAAGCTGAGCTGAAGGAAAGTGAAAAGAGCAGAACCATGAGCAGAATCACATCCCAGCTGGCTGAGGGGCGAAACCCATCCTCAAGTCAGAGCTCTGCTCTTAACCTCACCATACTATTGACTGCATGGAACCGCTCATTCACCAGAAGGGTCAGAGGCTGGGGAAACGACACAATACGATGTGATTAGCGTTAGAGAGCGCTGCTTTCAAGGACTCCCAGCACTTCATAAAGGTAACAAAGCAGTGCGTTAAAAGGGATACATCCGAGATGAGGAGCCTCTCAATTCACTGTCAGAGTTTTTCAGCAAGCCAAGTTTGCACTGAGCTCTATACAATGCACTCTCCTCTTTCCTTTTCTCTGAGTACAAGCAGGAACTCAGCAAGGGACTAAAAAAAACGAGCCACAGCCAGGACTTCTCTGCATCACACCAGCTTCTTTTTCTTCCTCACCAGTCAGTGAATTCACTCTGTGTACAGGACACATGGGCCAGACCTCACCTGAATACCTTTCTGTGTGCTAGCTCAAATGACCAGCAAATTTAAACTAATTTTAATCTCTGCGAGGTTTATGTTCACCCTGTTCCACACCTGCGAGCCACCAGGCAGGCCGCTGCAAGTACCAGTCCTGAGAATACCAAGTTTACTTACAGCTCATCCCAGCAAAATCTGCTGCTGCAAAACTGAGGAAGATTTTAAGAGCACTTTACTAACTTTATAAAAATCTTGCATTACAAAAAGGACATGGGAACTTACCCTTTTTTCCACAACAATTTAAATTTCATGCTGTTTAACACTGCTCTCTGTAAGAAGCGGATGTGCAGGAGGAGGGGAGGCAGCACCAGATGCAGCTCCCCAAGCACTGGCTACCAAACCTGCAGCCAATTCAAGCCAGTGATGAGGGCTGAGCACAGCCAGGACCCCCTTTGCTGGCATTGCAGCCCGTGGACTGAACATAAAACACTTCTGCCCTTGGAGAGTGCCCCTGGGCAAACACCACGGCAAAGCAGGGGCTGGCAGCACGGTGTGTGTGCACTGCAGTGGGTACGGGGCACTGCCAGAGGTCACAGCACTCAGCGTGGGACAGACCTGAGGGAGAAGGGAAAACCACACTATTCTGCACACCAGCCTGCCAGAGGGAGAAGCCCAGATTTACACCATGGCGTGGCTTTCAAGGGGACTGAAGTACAGGGAAAGGCGTGGGTGTCTGGAGGAAAATCTTCAGCCGTCCCCTTGGGAAACGCACCTTTTCTACTTAATTTCCTGCAGAAATAAAATTAGATCCTGCTCCTTTACGCCAAAGATTGTATATCTCTGCTGCAAGTTAATCTTGCAAGCTGGAGAGCATCCCTCTGCCAACTGCTGTGAGTGCGTGATTCACATCAGACCCTCAGCCTCCTCTCCATTTCTCTCTCTGCTCACTACATCTGCACCCCCATCGCTGCCTTCCCCTCCAGCCCACAGCTCACTGGGACATGAGCCCACCCTGGCCTCTGGTGGGAGGAAGGCAGAGACCTGCTGCTAAGCTTCTAAAGCACATCAGGCACAGAGAAGAGGAAGTGGGACCAGGGAAATAAAAGGAAGCCGTTGATTTCCTCCTCTGGCTCACGGAAATTATCATTTCTAGCACGTTAGATCCTACCTGCAGCCTCCTGGGCCTCCTGCTTGCAGCTTCTCTTGCCGTGTGGAGGGAAGTCTCTATTATCTGAAGAGATTCCCCTCTGTTTGATGACGAGAGGATGCGAGATGCTGCTGCTGACAGAGTGGCACTTCAGAAGGCTGCTCCGCAGGCCGAACACGAGCAAGGCCTTGTAGTCCCCTCCTGGCAGCTCTGAAGTACTCAAGTCAGGACCACCATGGGCAGAGAGGCTGCATGAGACATGTGCCATCTGAACAGTCCTGTGGGGACCATAGGGACGCACCGAGGCAGGTCAGTGCTTCAAGCTGGCCCATAGGAAGTCCTGACCTTGCTTAGTTTATTTTTCCTTTTCGTATGCAAACATCCAGAGCAGCCAGTAGGACAGTTGGGAAGAGAAATGGTGATTTCCATCATCCAGCCTTGCTCGTAGACTCAACAGCACTGGTTCAAACACCTCCCTACAGCCCTAGGGCAGGCACAAGCTTTTTGATCTCAGACCCTGGTCTCTCTTCCTAAAAGCTGCATGTTATCTCCTTCCCTCTGACAGTCTGAGCTGACAGAGTAGCTCCTATGAAGTCAACGCAACCCTGGATTTGTCTGCGGTTGCCTTTTCGGGTTAAGGTTTCTGTGGAACCACACAAAATCTGCCACGTTAGGACTTCAGAGCAGTTCACAAACTCGCTAATTATTCCACACCGGAGAGAAACCGAGTCACATCATCTCATTCTATTCACCAGCGCATTACACTTAGGCTGGCCTAAGTCCATTGACTTTGAGGGTCATTTTCTGCTTCTGCCAGAAGAAATCCCTCTCAGTCCCCAGAGGATGCGATTCCTTACAGTGATAGTGTGAGTGTGACTGGATAGCACCCAGGAGTCCCATCACACAGCCTTGCACTTAAACCAAAACAGCTATGACTTCGCCTCCTGGGATCTAAACAACAACATTCCTCAAAACAGCATTTCCTCACTGATGAAAAGACAGCTTGTATGCTCCCCTTATTTGCCTCCAGGGAACCTTCCAAAAGCCCAAAGTGCCTTGAGTTAGTTGTTTAAGGACTGTGCTTAGGAACACTCCTTATCCTAAGGAAAAATGAGGGTTTGTTCTCCTACATGAAGCTGAATTATGTCTTTGCTGCCCTCCGTTATAGTTAGCATGTTGTGCTTCAGTCCTAGCTCAGGTAAGGTCCTTACTGAGAACAAAGCAGGATGCATGAAAGGCACCCATCCCACTGCTTTCCCAGGCCTGGGAAGGACTCCGATTGCACAGCACATCCTAAAAACTGAGCTATCCAGGAACACCAGAGTAAAATAAACTGGATGGATTCAATTAAAAGGGTGTTACTTTAATGCGAGCAATTTAGTTCTCAAGGTTTTGATCCAGTTAAATGAACAATCACATTAATCCCAGGCTGCATTCAACGGGAGGCACCCGCGTGTTTTGGCAGGTAAGTGGGGAGAAGGGCAGGGGGTACGCTGGGGTGCTGATGTGTGTCTGTGTTCCCAGCAGAGCTGTGAGCGTGCTGCGTGGCAGGTGAGAAAACCTCATTATCTTCTCTTCCTTCTCTTTTTTCCTTTCCTTTTTTGCTTAAGGTTAGACAATGAAAAATTCCATCACTAGAAGTAATGTAGGAGATAATTTGCATGCTTTTAATTGCATAATTTTGGGTCAGGTCCTCTGCTGGGGTGAATCCGAGCATGCTCACTGAAGGCAATTTACTGACTTGGATTAGCTGAGGATGTGGTCTCCTCAGGGCACATAAAGAGAAAAGAAAAGGCAAAGACACTCTTACTCCTCCTATCCCTGCACAGGAGTCTGCCACAGCGCTGTGTTGCTTGCACGGCTGGGGTGTGAAGTTTGCCCAGGGCTAGCTGGAGAGGAAACTGCCTTTCCTTTGTACCTGGTCAGACACTGCCAGTGTCCCCAGAGCTATCACTGGATCCACGGGCCTTCTCAAAGCCCCTCTTCTAGGCTTGCTAGTACAGCAAACTCCACTGCTAATGAATCTGGCCACAGGACAATAAAAGCAAAAGAGCTGTGGCTACTACACACCAGCTACCTACCTACACACGACCTTAAAGCGCCTGGGACACACTTTACTACCACCTCTAACCACTGCGATGCAGAGCCTGCTCCTGCCACGTCAGGAGAGTTAAGCAGAGATGGATATGGTCTTGCCGAGGTGACTGCTCCAGCGTCCAGCCGCACAATTACCAGCAGATGTATGGCTGCAGAGTCCAAGAGGGTGTGCAATGTACTGACTATTAATCAAGTCCTGCTTTTAAGCCACAAACTGCATGCGGGCTTGGGAAAGACATATTTCAAAAAGCTTTACTTGCCTGAAATAATCTCCAGAAACAAGCCCAAGCCTTTTTTTTTTTTCTCCATTTCTAAGGCCCACCTGTGCTAGTAAAACCCTCTTCAGATTGTCAAACAGAAGGCAGACAAGTCTCTCCCCATCCCCTTTCCTCCTCTCACAAACACCACAAAAACAGGGTGGACAACCTGCCCTGGAAGTCTGCGCTGTTTCAGGCTGCTCTGACTGCGTGCCCTCCTGCTGCCAACAAAGAGACCTTGAGACCACTGCCTGCGGGACCTTCTCCATCAGGCACCAAACACACAAAAGGAGATAGGACGGAAGGCACCGAGAGCAGAGGGGCAGCCAAAACGAGCCCGGGAAGGACTCACATTCAGCTTTGGCACAGATGAGGCAGGCAGTGGTGCAGTTGAAGAATTTCAGGATCCCTGCCACGGCCACGCTGATGTCGGTGTTGCTGGGGTGGAGGTTGAGGGTGGTGAAGCGCTGGAGCTGCAGCTTCAGGAACTCCTCTGGTGCCACTTTGAAGTGAGGAACCTAAGTGGGGAGGACAGGGAAGAAAACATGATTAGAGAGGAAAAAGAAATGAAAACAAGTAAATCTACCATAAAAGGACCTTTGGTGTGAAATGCACAGCGGGCAGAAAGTGAAATATCCTAATAAAACTGCAGAAGCATCACCAGAGTGAAGAGAGGAAGGTGGGATTTTGTGCAATAGCAGAGGAAAATAATTATGAGAGTGACAAGAAGCCATGGGAAGGAGAGGATCAGGAAAAGTCTTGCTGAGCCACTCAGAGAAAGGCAACGGGGGCTGTGATTACAGCACAGGAAACCATTCCGGATGAGTTAAACCTAATTAGCTTGGGCACTAATTGTAGTCGGGCCCACACTTCATTTTGGGCTTGCTGCCTGGGTAAACACGGAGGATGCTTTGCAGGCAGGCAGGGAGTTACACAGCCCATGCTGGAGAGCCCCAGACCTTTGCTGCGCGCTAGATGGATGAAGTGCTGCAAATCCACCTCTGCCTGCGGTACCGATGTGTCGCCAGGTAATTAGGAGAGATGAAGGGAAGAACAAGATGACCCTGCTCTGGCAAGGCTCAGGAGGGAGAGGAACAGATGCAGCAGCCAGAAGCTTTGGGCTTTTTTGATCAGCAGAGAGGTAACAGGTGGCCATACGGTGGGCAGGCTCCAACGGGACCGTAACCGCGCGTCCTAATAATGCTTGTCATTAATACAGTGGAGCAGGGGGCGGGATGCTGTTTCCCAGGGAGCTGGGAGAAGCGGGAGCAGGGAAGCAGCCCGAGGGCTCGCTGCGAGGCAGCGCTGCTGCACGCCTGCATGTTGGTGTAGAGGGAAGGGGTGGGCAGCCAGATCAAGCCCAGACACCGGGGGTTCAGCCAAATTAGGAGAAGGAATATTGTTTTCCTTTTGCTGAGTGAATTATTTGGAAGAAGAGAGAGAAAGGGAAACATCTGCTTCTGCTTCATTAGAGGAGTGTCAAGTCCTCTTTTCCTCCATTATTAGTCCTTCCATAAAGTTTCACCCTAAGCCTCCCACCTCTCTCCTCTTGGGAAAGGCTATTAGTAGGTTGTGATGGCTGCTTTATTGACAGTGTAAGCTGTTTGGTTAGCAGTAGGAAAGTTAAAGTGTAATAAGCTCCTATCTGCCTTGGTTTCACTCTGCAGCCTCATCCCAGGCTCTATTAATAGGGAGAGAAGTGAAAGGCAAATCCCTCTAACCAGAGCAGACAGGGCAGCTCCAGTACAAGCGTGCTGACTGCTCTGGGGAGCCAATGGAGTCTGAGACATGCAGCAACAACCACGACCAGAGAGAGGGATGCAGACAGAGGTGAAAGCAGTCCCCACCACGGATCCTGCAAGCACCCAGCGCTGATCACAGCCCCGGTTCAGACCTCATGCTCGGTCCCAGAGTGCTCCTCTCCTTCCCAAGCGCTCTGCCCCGCTGCAATGTCCCTTTCTGGACAGGAGGGAAGGAAATGTTTGGGCCAAGGGGTAACGCAGGAGAGAGGTTTATCTCCCAGTTTTACCATAGGTGAACATCAGGCCAGCTACTGCAGCATCTGGTGCCTCGGTGGTAAAATGGGGACACTCTTCCCTTTAACTTGATGTCTGGCTGCAAGTACAATGGCTCTGGCTGGGCTGCTGCACCACGTTTAACACAGCGGCACCAACTGATGCTACTGTGATATAAATCACAGGGAGTTACTGCAGGTTTACATCACTAGGAGGGCAGCCGAGATCAAGCCTGAGAATCAAATACCTTAGAAGTGCACTAGCACTCACCTTTGATTTCTGAAAAAAAATAGAGATTTAGACCAGAGACCCAGACTAAATATGAATTTCAGGGGAAAAACACTCAGTCTGTTCCTGCAGAGTTGTCTTTGTCTGGGATGGAGCACATGTCTGGGACATTTAACTGGCAAAAGCACTACAAAATACTCTCAGGAGACCCATCCTGCTGTAGCCCAGAGCACCAGGTCTAAAAGATCTGTTCCATCCCTTCAACACTTCTGATTCTCAGGGAACAAACAACAGCAGTCATTTGTGACTGCAAGTTATTTACAGGGCTCAGTTCCAGACACTCCTCTCCTTGGAGGCTGGGCTCCAGAGAGAGATCACTAAATGGCTGAGAGATGTTATCTGGCTTTAAAAGGATGAACTATGAGAAGAGAACTCAATTTCTTTTCCTGAGAGCAGAGCCAGATCACTGTAAGATGGTTCAAGGCCTGTAAAATATTAAATCAATCACATAGTCTGGACACAGATAGAAAGGGTTCGCATTGCTGGAACAGCAGCAAGTAGAAAGGGGTGCAGCTTTCCAGGTATGTGCACAAAGTCACAACCAGGAACTTTGGCCAGGACCTGCATCCACCAGGGCAACCTCAGGTTTCTGCACCCCTCAGTCAGCGGGGACCTGGTTCACATTGGTGCTGCACATGAGGGAAGCTGACAGCAACGTTCCTGCCCTGCATTGCAGCGAGGACACGGGGAGAGAACACACTGGGGATGGTGAGGCACGTGGACACCAGCTGGAGAGGGTTTGGGGAGCACGGGTGGAAAGGAGAGACCATGACTGAGAACCAGAGCACCAGACTTGAACCAGAACTGCGAGAGGCCGAGCTGGAAGCTGCAGGCAGCTGTGCGGCTGCGGCTGGGACTTGGCATAGACGCCAAAGTCTCACACAAAACCCTGCGAGGCTGCAGGAAGCCCTTCTGCATGGGATCTGCGCAGAAGGCGCTGCTGCTCAGTATAGTGGTAAATTAAAAAACCTAATTCACGCTTACTAAATCACCGGCAAAACACTGTGTTCCCAGGGAGCGGCAGGCAGCAGCCAGCGGGAGACACTGCTGTGATCAGAGCCCACTGAGAGCATCGCTGGTTTGAAGGATGACGTGCAGCAGCAGGGGGAACGGGGCAGGATCTCTGTGGTGTCCCTTACCCACATAGATGACTCTGCTCTCACCCCAGACCTGCCGCAAACCACCAGGAAGAAGGAGCCAGGGCTCCTGCGTTACCCTCCCAGCCCTGGAAAAGGACATAGACTCACTCCAACATGGGGCATTTCCACTTACCTCTTTCTCCCCACAGATATTGCTGATAATAGAGCTCGAGGCGGGGCTTGAGGAAGGTCCCAGGACGCCTACCACCCCTTTTGGGAGAATCTGGCACACTGTGGGCACCAGAGAGAGGAAACGTGTGTTAGGCTTCATCCTTAATTTCCAGCTGACAATCATGCTTACAGTAGCTGCTGCACCTTAGTAAGGACACAGTACTGTCTCCTTCACACAACATACTCTCCCCCCAAAATCCCTCTTTTCTCTCTGAACCACAGTAACACCCTTCTCTGTCTTTCCCCAGCCTTTCCAAATCCCATCTGAACTCTCCCCAAAGCCCTGGCATCCTCATCTCCAATTCAGAACTGGGGTCTCTCTTATAACATCGCTTTTTGGTCCCACCTGCTATGCTCCAGGATAAAGCATTCATTAAAGTTTATGGCAGACACTAAACACAGCAGTGACCTAGCTCCATAGCATCATCCAGCAGCAAACAAACTTGTACGAATTTCTGCTCTCATCCTCTGCACAGCTCAGTGATAATAATAAGGATTCTATTACTGGTTTTCATTTGGTTTGTTGGGTTTTTTTCCCTGGCAGTAGTTAATCTTCTGGCTCCATGCCACCAAGGTTAGCTGAACAATAAAAAGACCCTGACAAAATGAAGAAGTTAAACCTCTTCCCTCAAGCTTCCCGGGTTAAACTGCAACCTTTTGTCCTTTTAATTCACAGCATAAGTTTAGCCAAGTGGTACTGCAAGGAGTACCCCAGCTGGTGTCACCTCCCGCTGCCATCCCAGTCAGCCACAGCGCTCAGAAACGCTCCTACAGAGCAACCTGTGCAGGCAAAACCTTGCGAACAGAAGGCGAGAGCCCCTCGCACCAGAACCCCTGGACTCTGAAAGCTCCTCTGAACACGTGCTGGTCATGGCTTATCCTGAAACACCAGCCCTGCCTCAGCTCCTTTCTCCCCGGACAGACAAAGCCACATTGGCTCAACTGGCGTCAAGCGACTGCTTTCTGAAGGAAGACGATACCGCGGGGGAGAAAGGAGCCACCACGACTACTTAGCGGTTCTGGCAAGAGCGAGCTCACACCATTTTCACATGTGAAAACTAAAGCACCGTATCACAAAGCTGAGATTTTGAAGATAGTGCGTCTTCAGTATCAAATGGCCGGTCTGTTTCACAGCTCCATCCTCGCTGCAGGTCCCTGGCTTACGAGTCAGGTGAGCTTTTGGGATGGGTGTAAAAACTTTGCCAGATTCAACGGCTGGAAAGTGGAGCTAGAAAAACTCAAACCAGAACATATTTTTCTTGCAGTGAAAGGAATGCATCATGAAAACTGTCGTACTACAGTAAGAGCGGGTTTTATCTCAACATCAACTCTTTAAATCAAGACCGGACACGAAACGAGAGCCTACGCAGCGCTTGGGGGTTTTTTAGATCAGTGAGCTATGGGGCTGAGCAGTGTTTAGCAAGTGAACATCTACAGAAGATCACATCAGCTAATCAAGGTGGGTATCTCTGCCCTTAGACTTCATACGTCTCCATAGCCTCAGGACTGGAATATTAGGCCAAAAGCTGAGGATATTTTGGACAAACTTTGAGGACAAACTTTCCCCAATGTTTGTCACTTTGGGGAACTGGTTTTAGTTCTCTTCAAGTGCTACTTGAAGACAAAACTCCATTTACTACTAGACAGATTGCTCCAACTTCTCGCAGAAGGTGACAGAGATGTGCAATCATCTCCAGGGTTTTCTTTCCTTCCTTCCGTGCTCTCTCACCCTCCGCCATCTCAATCTGCTACAGAACGAGTGAGATTTTCCTGTGGCATCTTCAAAGTACTCCAGTACTCGCTTTTCCTCTGTGCTTAAAAATTTACAGGCACTTACACCTCTTCAGAAGACCTTTCTAAATAAGAGCACCAGCAATTTCAAAACCTTGAAAAATTTCAGCGGCACTCATCAGACCCTCTCAGCTGCGGCAGAGCCTTCGGATGCTCTGCAATTCAGCATCTAGGAGGAAGGAGCTGCTCCAAGCCCTCCTTATCCACAGGTTGTTGAGGTAAAAATCCTGGGGGGGGGAATTCTGTTGAGCATGCAGGGGAAAGGTTGGCGAGCACTCTTCTTCTCATCTCTAGTATGGAGAGCAAAAAGTGGGTTAAGTAGTCATAGCAACAGAATTGCAACAACTGTCAGAAGAAAGAGACCTGGCTTATCACTTCAAAGGTGAAACATCCAGTAAAATTAAGGAAGACGAATGGAAACAAAGTGGAGGTGCTCGAGGCAAAGGTTTCACCCATGTTTGGAAAGCTGCTTCTCTTGTAATCCAAACACATTTCCTACTGCAGAACATTACCTGATGCTGTTAAGTCTCCACAGGGAGAAAAGCCTCAACCTTGCTACCATCATGAGAATTCAGATGAGCATTTGCAGCGATGTGGAAGTATCAGTCCTGTACTCAAAATTCATGCCCAATAACCGGACCAACTATAACCACAGATACTGGCATAGCCCCTGCCAGTGGAGTCTCTTCATCCTTCAAGACATGGGTGCCATGTAAGCCACATACTGTGCAGGACACATTTTTGATTGCTGCAGACCCAGACACCAAGGATGGCTGAAAGGGCTCTGGTGAGAGCACCCACCCACGGTGCAGAACACAGCATCTCTTGTATACAAGTACCTGATACAAGGGTTTCAAACACCAAGCAAAGAACATTCCTGCCTCTAATTGAAAATAAACGAGCAGGCAAGGTATGCAATTACCTCAACGTTTCCATGATTGCAAAACGTATCAGAGGATCTTGAGTGACAGGGACTGGTCAGGATGGGATTCTCATACAAAAAGTGCATCAACAGACAGCATTACAGAGCGTGTGTCCTGCACCACAGCTCCCTGCGGCATCCCTTGTGCTTCTTAACAAGAAGCCACAACCACAGCAGGCTTACATGTGAATAGTGTATTTGAGCAACTGTCACTGAAATGATGCACCAGGCACTTTGAAATATTGGTGTGAATAAATAAAAATTAAAAATCCTCCGGTTGCTCGCTCGCTCTGCCTGCTGACCTGCTCTGAAATGTTTGGATTAACAACAGAAAGATGCTTAAAAGACTGATGAGACGATAGGGGACAGGGTGACAAGTAGAAAATCTGTCCCTCCCCGGACATCAAAAGGAATAAGGTGTTTTAGATAAAGACATGATTAAACAAGTCATTTTGGATCTCCATAAAAGGAGTTGAAACATCAAACAGAAAGAGAGAACAGGCTTCATTTATAACAGCTAAAAGCCCTCTATGCATAACCTTTCAGTGCAAGCTCATTTCAAAACACAGGACTTCATAGATGACGTTGTTCATAGAGGAACAGTCAAAGTTTGTTTTCATTCATATATAAAGCTGAAATGGCAAACTATGCATGAATGTGATTAAGACTGACTCATATTTTACCTGCTCTAGCAGTTGTGATTTTGTGGCCCCCTAACAGTAAGATGCCTGAGTCAGTCAGGAAGACAAAAAGAAAGACAAACAGCTCAATGTTAAAATAGAAACTAACTCTCAAAAAGTCTTTCTTCTCCCGAAGCACTCACTGCACATGGAATATCACTGATGGGGTGTAATCACAGCATTCCCAGATCAGTCAGCTAAGCATGCTAGCTGTGATATTTAATAGTGATTCAAAGGGCATGAAATTTGAGAACAGTATTAAACAGATGCATAACAGCTTTGCAGTCATAGGTTAGAACATCTAAACTGCTTTTATTAATATTACGTGTGATAACAAATATCAGTGCCATATTAAAGCTGAGAAGTCAGACATTTGAAAGCCTTGAAATTTAAGTTACAGGATCTGATTCTCCCCTGCTACCAGGATAAATCCAGAACAACTTCAGTGACATTAATAGAGGAGCCATGCAGAATCCAGGTTTTTTCTCTTTTGTAAGAAATGCTTCAAGACATTTTTCCTTCCAAAGAAAAGGGAGATATCGTATTGCAAAATTATGTGAATATTCACTTCGCCAAAATCAAATCAGTTTGTTCCATTTTCTACTTTCTACAGTCTGCAAGTCAAAATAAAGAAAACAATGAAAATCACCCCGAGGTGAAAACTCGAAATGGAAGATTGCCTCTTCCTCACTTATCCCATTTCCCTGCTCTCTCCGAACACCACGTCTGCTGAAATCAACAATTCCTCGCATAATACTTCATTCTCAGCAAATTAGCGTCCTTCTGCTTGAAAAAACGCCCCAGCAGAAACATTTCTGAGCAGTGTTACAGGGGTGCACGTGAGAGAGAAATCCCGCTGACGACCTGCGGGGTCACTTGGCAATCGAGCCCATTTCCCGAGCAAAGCTAAATACGAGAAACACTGCTACGTGCAGCAGATTTATGGGAAAGGAACTGAAAATGCTACTGATTCTTTCAAAGCGTGCCATCTTCTCATGTCCTAGGAGGCTCATTGATTTGGGATACTCCTGGGGGCAAACTGGGAATGGACTTATAAACACAGGCAGCCCCCATCCCTTTTGCACAGCCCAACCAGTGAAGCTCGATTTGCTGTGCCAAGTGAGAGTAAAGCAAGATGTGCACATCCCTGAACAGATGGGAAAGACCAAGAAAAGGTTAAGAGGCGAAGGATCCAAAAAGGCAGAGAATCTGTGTCTTAAACACCGCCTGCGATGCTGCACGTGATGATCTTAATCTGGACTGCCTCATGGGTGGCAGGCTCTATAAATAGACACACAGGTACTCACTGAAATCCACTTTATTAACTGAACGCTTCTATAAATAATGCAAACGCTAATTCAGGAAATGAAGGAGCGACCTGCTGATCTCGCAGGCCTACGGAGCCCATTCTGCCCGTTCCCGAGCAGCGCTGGGTGCCACGGCCCCATGGTGCCACCAGCACAGGGGTGCTCAGCACTGCGCAGAATGAAGACCAAAGCTATGGGGAAAAACCAGCCCGCTCTAGACCACAACACGCTATCGTGCCTTTTTGGGATACGCTGTAGATTACACAGGCTTGGAACACAGAACCCACAGGGAAAAGAGTTGAAATCTTTATTATTTAAAAAGATTTCTCCAGCTTTTTCAAGCCAGTTTGTAATAAAAAAAATATAGTTTTCCCCTGAGGTCTAAAGTTCATCTTAAAAATTATTCTAAAGGGAAGCTATGCTATTCCAAAGGATTTTCCCTCTCACAGGAAGAAGCTGTTATAGATCATTTTGGTCTCTCTCCCTCAGGCTCCTGAGAGGTCTGAGGGGCGCTGACTGTCAATTCCTGTTGCATTTATCAACGTGGGGTTGACACGTTTGGCATCTAGAGGAACACCTGTAGTAGACACCAGTTTGTATTCAGCGACTTCAAAGCAACGTGGAAAGTATTCTGCTCTTTCAAAATTAGCTCCTTTGAAACCCCATGATTTCAAACATCACTTGAAAACTTCGTTTTGTGTAAACAAATCCACTGCCAATCTAAAGCACTGAAAGAGCTATCATGTTTGCTGACAAACTCTGTTCTGCGGGGTTTTAAAAATAACTTAATTGCACTGAACTTGCCCAGAGTCTCTTATTTGCACACCATTAAGTACTTTACAAAGGAGCACCACCTCCTGCATCATTACCTCTGTTTACTGGCATGCAAATCAAAGACAATAATTTGTCCCAGGCCGCCGAGCTAAATGGCGACAAGCCCTCTTGCGAGGCGGTGGAGAGAACTGGGGAAGGACCAGCTGCGCAGAAGGGTACTCACTGGTTTCCGCCGTCTCATATTCGCTGTCCCGCAGCAGCTCAAAGATGTCCACCTCCACTCTGGCTTTCCCCGCCCGCTCAGGCGCGCGGTTGATGCGGTTCTTGGCCAGGGTGATGGAGAGCCTCTCCCCTCTGCTGCACTCCATGGGGTCATCCAGGATGGCAGCTGCGGGAGCAAAGGCATTGGTTGGCAGCGGTTAGGCTTGGGCCCGCTCCACGCACCCCCACCTCCTCCCATCCTTTTCCCAGCACCATTTCGGGGTCTCCGCTGCCACGCAAGCAGCCGCCGCGTTGGCACTTCTGCTGCTGCCGCCGCTATTGTTAGTGCACCCATCCCTCCTCCCTCCCACCCGCGGCCTTTCCCGCCGCTGCGCCCCCACCTCCCAGGTCTTGCCAGACACGTGTGCGGCCAAATCTCCGCTGCAGCGG